TCTTAATTATTCGGGTAATGTGTGTGTGTGTGTCTGTGTATTGCTATTTATTATTTGTTTAACGTAACGGCGACATTTTATTTCACTGTCGAGAAGTTCTGTTGCTGGTTCTTGTTATCGTCCACCCAGCCCGCGAACACGTCCCTGCAAACAGACCACGCCCCATTAGTGTGCTACCACTACTGAACCGCGCCCTCTGTCACTGTCACGGTGACGCATGTGACATGACAGCACCCTGTTGTGACAGTGGCGGACGACATTAATGACAGTGAACTGACTTACTGGCAATGGCTGATGACACATTCGTTACTGCAGTACTCTTCCTCCCACTCCGGACTGCTGACGGCCCGATTGGTGCATCCGTGACGCATGCAGGAGTTCGGCTGCGACCTCATGCCGCCCTGGCCGATGGTCTGTTGTTGCGGCTGCTGTGTAGGGGGCGCTGATGGCGGACCGCCAGCCTAAAACCACAGTCTATTTTCAGTTGCGAATTGTCGGCCGCCAGATGGCGCCCGGGATGCGACATGCGGGACNGGGGGGGGCCGGTGCTGGACAACAGATGGCGCCGCGCGAACCGGGGGAAATTTGGGGCGCGCAGCGCCTGTGCCGAAACCCACTAACCTGTGAAACGGGCGGGGAGCTCGATCCCCCCATTGGTGGGGGGCTCATGTGCTGTTGGGGCTGCTGTTGCTGCATGTGCGCATTGTGGGGGGACACCGGCACTTGATGGGGGCTGAGCGGCATGTGCTGTTGTTGCTGCTGCTGCTGCGCCTGCTGCTGCGCCTGCTGCTGCTGCTGCTGCAACCAAAGCAGGTGAACTTAGGTTAGAGAAGCGATTGATTTTGTTTTGTTCGTGGGAATTCTATTTCGTTAAAACATTTTTCAATAAAAGAATTTGGATAATTATTGAAATTTAGAATTTCTTTTATATAATATATACAATAACGCCTCCAATCAGCTGAAATCTGGCAACAATGTACCCCAAGGGGGCTACAATTAGCCGACAAGCGTCTAGGTATAGCCAGCGGTTTCTTATGATTTAAGACTGTGTAAGGTTAGGTGATTTTTTCCCGGTATTTTGTTGTAACCGTAAACTCTTTGGATTTTATTAATCTATTGTTGGACTTTGACTGTGTTAACTTAATTAATATTGATAAAATTATTGGACTTATAAAGTTTGATTCAGAAGAACTTAACGATGCGTTTTTTAACGTTACTCTATATATTATGTACACCAAATGGGGCGTTTTAATAATAAAAATGTATTATTGAGCAAACAGATAGTTGGCTTAAGTTATTTTCCTATGTGCAATGTGCCAATTTAATTAAAAACGATTATCAACGATTTTTTAATTTTAAAGTAACAGAAAATATAAAATTACTATTGTAAGAGTCAAGAAATATTGAGCAAAAGAATACTATTGCCACTTGGGTGATGTTTATTATAAGTTTTACCGACAAATAAATCTATGGAATGTATTTAGTAATTTGAAAACTATCCATACAAATGTATCGATGTATGTAAGAATACTCAATATACTGTCAAAATGCAATAAACCAAACTTTTCAGGAGGTTTATTTAATGGTTTAAGTTGCTTAATTAAATACGACGAATACAAAATCTCATACCCATTTAAGTTGTTCAGAATAAATAATTTGGAAATTGTTATAAATTAAGAAATACTCATAATTATCACTGTCTTTCTTTGTGCTAATATAAAGGCAATGCTATTATTTTTGTTTCAGAAAATTCAAACAATCCCTCTTAAAAAATTAAAAATTACTAGCCAAGAGCGTATAAAATTTACCTATGAATTTCTGTACGATACTATTTGTTTGCCATTTTTATCTAGAGCTTATATAAGGTTCGAAATGCATGATTGGCGGACTCGCGCCTGTTTATCTCGACAAATTATAAAATAATCATCATCAAACAATAAACAAAACCACCTAACCTTAAATCGTCTTAACTGATTTGTCGAACTTGTCAACGATACGTTCGATAACGATACAAATCGATATTTGATTGGTTCGAATCGGCGCAATCGATAGAAGTGACAGGTATACCTAGACGCTTGTCAATTAGCCGCTCCTAGTTGGGCAGGCGGCGTTGCCGCTGCCCGCAAAAAACCCCCAGCTCCCCTACCTGTTGCATATAACTACTGTGCTGCTGCTGTTGCTGCTGCATGTGCTGCTGCATCGTCATGTGGCCGCCCATGGGCGACGGCATCATGCCCGGATGGGCGGGCGAGGCCCCGCCCATGCCGCCCATCATCGAAGGCGGCTTCTTATTGATCGGGGACTGCGAGGGCGGGGTGTGGCCGCCCGACGAGATCGGGGGCGACGGAATGGCGCCCTAAAAACCCCAAAAAAAAAACAAAAAAAAATCAGTCAATAAACCCCGCTTTTGCCACTCACTTGGGGCTGGTAGCCGCCATAGGGGGAGCCACCGGGCGGGCCGGCTGCATAGTTGCCGTAGTTTCCATAGAGGGGGCCGCCGTCGCCGTCGCCCGCCCCTTTCGACACCAGACTGGCCCTGTAGGCCGCCAACGCCTTCAGATACTCCTTTTTGGCCGCCTCGGTTTTCTTCTTGTACACCTAACAGGAGGAAGAATTGGGGGAGAAGAAGAAGAAGAAGAAAAAAAAGGTTAATTCAGTTGCAAGCGCGTGGGACAAAGACGGAAACTTGCATTTTTATGTTCGGAGTCCAGCGCGTCCCACATGGCGGCGACAATTTTCGAAACTTCGCCAAAGCTGGCGTTCGGGTTCTGGCCCTTGATGGCCGCTTGAGTGTCGCGGAAGAAGAGCGCATAGGCTGATACGGGCCTGGAACAACGCAAAATGACAGTTATTAGACTAAGTTGATCACAGATGGCGCCACTGGCGCCAGCTTGCCGGGGAACAACCGCCAGCGCTGCCGTTTCGCCAAAGCTGCGCGGAACTTGATTTTTGGCATTTTTTAGGGAAATTCGCAAAACAGGCCAAACTAAATACGTTTTTTTGTGCGCTTTTTGGAACAGGAGTGAAAAGCGTGCACTTGTTGAGGCTCGGCGCAAAATTTCACTGGTTTTCTTTCATTCGTTAGTTGAAAGATTGCTCCTGGAAAACCGGTTTTCGTAGTTTGCCGGAAAACTGGGGAGATTTGGCAACAAACTGCCTTCTTTGAAAAATGTGCGCCCGCTTAGGGCTTGAACAAAATTGCAATTATTTTTATGCATGGGGTGCGGAGCAAATGTCCGAAAATCAGCATTGAAAACGAGTTTGGGAAGTTTTCGGGAAAAATCGCCAAAATTGACAGAAAGTGCTGTCTTTTTGGATTTGCCAGTTGAAGCCCTGGAAAATTTTTTAAAATTTTTTCACGCGTTTCAAGTTGCAAAAACTAGCCTAGAACTGAGTTTTT